ATTTAGGGTTTAGGATTTAGGGTTTAGGGTTTAGGGTTTAGGGTTTAGGATTTAGGGTTTAGGGTTTAGGGTTGAGGAACATTTCGGTCCCACATATCGAAGTATCATAGGAAGCCTTAAGGTCCAAGTCGCCCCTCAGCCCCAGACCCGAAATATGGTCCGAACCCTAGCCCTTTGTTTTGAATAGGGCTAGGGTTGAGGGCTAGGGTTTAGGGTTTAGGGTTTAGGGTTTGGGGTTTAGGGTTTAGGGTTGAGGGTTCGGGGTTTAGGGTTAGGGTTTGGTTTTGAATAATCTGGGGTTTAGGGTTTAGGGTTGAGGGGTCGGGGTGTAGGGTTAGGGTTTGCATAATACTTGGAGGTTCGTTGGGGCAAGTATGAGTAGGGCTAGAAGAAGGGTAACCATGGTAAAAACCTTATTTGGGGTCTAAGTACCCCTTAACCCTAAACCCTAGACTCTACACCCTACACCCTACACCCTACACCCTACACCCTACACCCTACACCCTAAACCCTAAACCCTAAACCCTAAGCCCTAAACCCTAAACCCTAAACCCTAAAGGCACCCATGAGTCTTGTCGATCCTGGATGACCGACAGCCCAGGGTTCGGACCACGCTTACGGTTGAGGGTTGAGGGTTGAGGGTTGAGGGTTGAGGGTTTAGGGTTTAGGGTTTAGGGTTTAGGGTTTAGGGTTTAGGGTTTAGGGGGTGTGGCCGGCGTCACTTCAGCCTAGAACTTCGGAGCGTAGTTATTTCAGATGGACTGCCGGACCCGAAAGCCTCAATCGGCTAAACCCCGAGCCCAGCTTGTTGAGCTTCTTTAGGACTCAGGTTTAGGGTCAAACCCTAAACCCCAAACCCCAAACCCTAAACCCTAAACCCTAAACCCTAAACCCTAAACCCTAAACCCTAAACCCTAAACCCAAAACCCTAAACCCTAAAGCCTAAACCCTAAACCCTAAACCCTAAACCCTAAACCCTAAACCCTAAACCCTAAGCCCTAAACGCGGACAGGTCATCAAGACCAACCTCTCCCTCCCTCAACGTGACTCTTCCGGGCCGTTTATGCCGAGCTCCGAGCTGATCCGTGCACTCAAGGGGATCCTTGCTATGAGCCTTCGGGTTCACGTTTAAGGTTTCGTTAGGGTTTAGGGTTTAGGGTTTAGGGTTTAGGGTTTAGGGTTGAGGGTTGAGGGTTTAGGGTTTAGGGTCCAGGGTCTAGGGGCTGAGGCTGTGTTAGGGTTTAGGGCTCAAGGTTTTTGGGTTCAGGGTTTAGGGTTCATGGTAACGTTATAGTTTTAGGGTACCCTCGTCTTTGGATGGAGGCATGAAGGACATGAAGGTTCATGCTTTGGCTTTCCATCTCTGGATACTGCACCCTAAGAATCCTAAATCCTAAACCTAAATCCTAACCCTAAATTCTGAGCCCTAAATCCTTCCTAAACCCTAAACCCTAAACCCTAAGCCCTAAACCCTAAACCCTACACCCTAGCCCGGAAACCCTAAGCACCAATCCGAAGGCCTTGTGCGTAGTGCATGGGCTTCGGACTGGGAGAGCTTGGCCAGGTACTTGAGACCCGGTTGACATCGGCTCCTTGGGTTTAGGGTTTAGGGTTTAGGGTTTAGGGTTTAGTGTGAAGCCCCTTAACTCATCATCGCGAACCTTGTGTAGCTGAATAGCAACTCCTTAAGGTTTTCTTGAGCTGTAGCTTTTTCAACCCCAAACCCTAAACCCAAAACCCCAAACCCTAAACCCAAACCCCAAACCCCAAACCCTAAACCCTAAGGTTCGCTTACGACCATGCCTTCGCCATCAAAGGCCAAGGCACGGTTCTGACAGGCCTGGCTTAGGGCTTAGGGCTTAGGGCTTAGGGCTTAGGGCTTAGGGCTTAGGGCTTAGGGCTTAGGGCTTAGGGCTTAGGGCTTAGGGCTTAGGGCTTAGGGCTGAGGGCTGAGGGCTGAGGGCTTAGGGCTTAGGGCTTAGGGCTTAGGGCTTAGGGCTTAGGGCTTAGGGCTTAGGGATTCGGGCTTAAGGCTTAGGGCTTAGGGCTTCGGGCTTAGGGATTCGGGCTTAGGGCTTAGGGCTTAGGGCTTCGGGTTTAGGGTTTAGGGCTTACGGCTTAGGGCTTAGGGCTTAGGGCTTAGGGCTTAGGGCTTAGGGCTTTAGGGTTTAGGGTTTAGGGTTTAGGGTTCAGGGTTTAGGGTTTAGGGTTTAGGATTTGGGTTCGGGGTTCAGGGTTGAGGGTTGTGGGTTCAGGGTTCAGGGTTCAGGGTCCAGGGTTTAGGGTTTAGAGTTAAGGTTGGGCCAAGACCACGTAGCTTGAAATGATTCAACGGTCAAAAATGAAACTCCTCGAATCTCTCCGAAGCTTTCCCCGGACCTGAACCCTTAACAACTTCAATAAACCCGAAGCCCGAAACCCGAAACCCTAAACCCTAAACCCGAAACCCTAAACCCTAAACCCTAAACCCTGAACCCTACACCCTACACCCTAAACCCAGCCAGGAACGGTCTTGTCTGGGGCAGTGAAGCCTCAGATGGGCATAGTGGTGCCGCAGCTGGGTGAGGCCTTGGTCCGGTCATTAGGGTTTAGGGTTTAGGGTTTAGGGTTTCGGGTTTAGGGTTTAGGAGGGTTTAGGGTTTCGGGTTTCGGGTTTCGGGTTCACTGTTTCGGGTTTAGGGTGTAGGGTTTACAGAAGGTGTATAGGGCTTGGGTCCGGGGTTTTGACTGAAAGTTTGGAGCGAACACTTCGTTTTTTTGGCTCTGAGCTGCTTGGAAAAGCTTGAACCCTAAACCCTAAACCCTAAACCCTAAACCCTAAACCCTAAACCCTAAACCCTAAACCCTAAACCCTAAACCCTAAACCCTAAACCCTAAACCCTAAACCCTAAACCCTAAACCCTAAACCCTAAACCCTAAACCCTCAGCCTGGGAATAGGGTTGGAGGCTTGGAGGCTTGGGCGGAGGGCTTTGAGAAGGGCCGGGCGCATGGTCTGTCTCTGCGTTCTGGAAGGGTTTGCTGATGCAAAAACTTCGAAGTTAGTTTCTTGAGGGTTTAGGGTTTAGGGTTTAGGGTTTAGGGTTTTTGAAATGATTAAGGGTTCAGGTCCGGGGAAGTTTCGAGGAGCTTCTTTTTTGAATGTGGAAGACTGTCAAGTTACAGGGGCTTGAGGGTTCAGGGTTTAGGGTTTAGGGTTAGGCTCCTTGGGGAACATTTTTTGATGTGTTGAGGGCTTCGAGTTTACTAGGTTTAGGGCTCAGGGTTTAGGACCTAGGATTTCTGGGTAGGACGTTGAGGTATGGTATCATGACTTTTTCCGTGTTAAGAGGATATCACGTTGTGCATGTACCAGAAGGTTTGAAAGGCCGACCTAGGCAAACTAGATCATTCCTAGATGTCCGACATTCTCGGCAGGCAGGCAAGGGCAAGAAAGTTCGAAGCTTGCAGACGCACGGCGGCATCGAATCTTCAGTAGTTTCTCTGCTTCGGCCTTCAGAGCAGCGGTTTCAGCCTTTGACAGCGTGGGGCTGAGACCATCCCTGAGGATGTTTCGACAGCCCGTGCAGGAAGCCATCCAAGGCGCTGTTTTTTTCCAACTGGGGTGGGTTTAGGGAGGAGTTCGGGTTTACAGTTTGGGGTTTGGGGTTTAGGGTTTAGGGTGAGGAGTGCAGGGGTGGCACTCACAATGTCGGGACCTGTTTATTTGGAAGTTTGATTCTACCTATACTTGGCGTAGCGGGGACGGCACTTTTTTTGGGAGCCCAGACTGTGCGTTCCTGTTTAATTTCCAGCTGCACATGGCCGTGCCTGTCCGGGCTCGCCTCTGCTGAGCCCAAGATCAGACATGACAGCCACTTGTGCGATTGCTTTTGCTGATTTGTTGTGCCGTCGCATCTGTCACCTGACCCCGGATCGTGATCCCCTAAACCCTCAACCCTAAACCCTAACCCTAAACCCAAAACCCTAAACCCTAAACTCTAAACCCTAAACCCTGAACCCTAAACCCCAAACCCCAAACCCTAAACCCTAAACCCTAAACAGCTCAAGCAGAGTGAGCACCGGAAAGCACCTGAAAGCCTACGTCCCTCGTTGGGCCTCGGTGATTGCACTGAATAGGCTCCCTTATAAACCTCTTTAAGCAGAAAAGGGCACCCTTTTTAAGCCTAGGTTACCGGGCAGCCTAGGAATCAGTTGCCAGGTGATCGCGTGGCCATGTGCGTGGCAGCCCTGGATGCCAAGGCAGCAAGTGCATCATGCATCACGGCATTTTTTTTGGGTCTTTTCAGCACTGATGAGTTTGAATACACATAAAAAATGCCTACATAAATAAATATGTAAAAATATATATGTATACATCTTTTTTTATATCTGTATCTTTATTATCCATGTATATTTATATTGCGACTAACAGCAAGGCATGGGGTTTGGGGGTTTGGGGGTTTTGGGGTTTTGGGGTTTTGGGGTTTTGGGGTTTTGGGGTTTTGGGGTTTTGGGGTTTTGGGGTTTTGGGGTTTTGGGGTATTGGGGTTTTGGGGTTTTGGGGTTTTGGGGTGTTGGCGTTTTGGGGTTCTGGGGTGTTGGCGTTTTGGGTGTTTGGGGTTTTGGGGTTTTGGGGTTTTGGGGTTCTGGGGTTTTGGGGGTTTGGGGTTCTGTGGTCTTGGGGTTTTGGGGTTCTGGGGTTTTGAAGGGGGTTTTGGGGTTTCGGGATTTTGGGATTTTGGGGGACACCCGACAGAAGAAAGCCTTCGTTGCACGGTAAACGCCTGGGGCGCCCGACAAAGCGCCGCCAATGCACAGCAGCAACGATGCCTCACCTAACGATGGGCTGCGGAGCTATACGCATATACATATATATATATATATAAATTGAAAAACATATGTTGTGTCTGTAGTATATGACTATTTTGTACGATATTATTTCTATTGCATTTTCCATTCCTAAATATATTCCTGCTCCCACAGAGCATCTCCTCTGCAGGAGCTAGAGCGCGGCATCGTTCTGGGTGAGAAGTTCCCAGTTCCGATGGTGGCAGCTCCTGCATGGTTTCAAGCTTAGGGCTGAAGATCTTGTAGATGCTCTGTGGCATGTGAAGGTAAACCCTAAACCCTAAACCCTAAACCCTAAACCCTAAACCCTAAACCCTAAACCCTAAACCCTAAACCCTAAACCCTAAACCCTAAACCCTAAACCCTGAACCCTAAACCCTAAACCCTAGACCCTAAGCCCTCAACTCTGAACCCTAAGCCTTAAACCGAATCCCAAAAGCCCCGACTCTCCCGGCCCGGCGGCTTGCATGTGACCCCCGGTTTAGGGTTTAGGGTTTAGGGTTTAGGGTTTAGGGTTTAGGGTTTAGGGTTTAGGGTTTAGGGTTTAGGGTTTGGCATGCCAGGATGCTGCAGTGTGTGCTGTGGACAAGATCAACTACTTCAAAAGCCGCTCGACAGGGTTTAGGCTTTAGGCTTTCGGGTTTCGGGCTATGACCTTACGGGTTCGTGGTAGGGAGTTGGGGAGCTGACCGGTGACCCCATATTGTCCCTTGAAGGGTTTGTAGGAGCGTATGCAGGTACCTAATTTTTCCTAAGTCGCAAACAGCTACTTGGAGGTTCATGGGTACCTAGAAGCCGGGTGATAAGTAGGGTAACTATGGTTATAACCTTATTTCGGATACTTACAACCCTACTTCTAGGTACCCATGAAGCTCCTAACCCCTCAACCCTCAACCCTCAACCCGCAACCCTCAACCCACAACCCTACACCCTCAACCCTCAACCCGAACCCCTAAACCCTAAACCCTCAACCCTAAACCCTAAACCCTAAACCCTAAACCCTAAACAGTAGTAGGCTGCTAGGAAGCCAAAGCTCTGGGCCGAGGTACCGTGTTGACGAAGTCCAAGTTTCATGTCACCATGGGGCATCAAACAGCCACGCTGGCGGAATTGCCCATATAGGGTTTAGGGTTTAGGGTTTAGGGTTTAGGGTTTAGGGTTTAGGGTTTAGGGTTTAGGGTTTAGCCAGGGTATACCGTCTTGCCACCCGAACTCTTTGTGAGAAGGGCCTCATGTGCACCACCCGTGATGTAAACCCTAAACCCTGAACCCTAAATCCTAAAGCCTAAGCCCTAAACCCTAAACCCTAAACCCTAAACCCTAAACCCTAAACCCTAAACCCTAAACCCTAAACCCTCAACCCTCAACCCTCAACCCTCAACCCCAGTACAGTGCCAGGTCATGGCCACGGCCCACTTCTTCTGTCCCTTTCCGGGAGCCGCTGGTGCGACACCTTCGGCCCCTTCCAGGACTGGGGGGCCCTCCCACCACAGCTGCTTTAAGCATGGAGCTTCTAGGTCTTAGGGTTTAGGGTTTAGGGTTTGGGGTTCAGGGCTTGGGGTTTAGGGTTAAAACCCCTAAAGCCCCTCAAGCCCCCAAAGCCTGCAAAGCTCCTCAAGGTCCGACAGCCCCTAAACTCCCCAGACCCCCTAAAGCCCCCTAAAGGCCCGCAAAACCCCCTAAAGTCCCTAAACTGCCCAGCAAACCCTCAAGCCAAAACTTTTTGAACCCCTAAACCCCTAAGCCGCAAACCGCCCCGAAGCCGGACATGGAGTCGGGAGGACCAAAGAGAAGCCTCCTGAGGCGACGCGGGGTCTGGTTGAGGTTTGAGGGTTTTGGGGGGGTTTTGGGGGTTTTGGGGGCTTGGGGCTTGGGGTTTGGGGTTTGAGGGTTTAGGGTTTGGGGGTTTAAGGTTTGGGGATGTTTGGGGCTTAGGGTTTTGGGCTTAAGGCCTTGGGTAGGGCCAGCATGCAGCTGAATCCTTCTGCTAGTGGCTGCAGGCCGCAAAGCCAACGACTGCGAAAGGCCGTATTGCGTGAAGGGCTTCTCATTCCAAACCCCAATTTCCCACCCTAAACCCTAAATCCTAAACCGTACACCGCAAACCCTAAACTCACTAAATCCAACTGCCCCGGTCAGGTTGAAGGGTCAGCATTCATGATTTCTTTAGAGGTCGTTTTGGTCAAACAACTACTATTTGCGTAAGAACCCCTCTAAAAGTGAAAAATATTCTTCCTTATACGGAGAATATGTGGATTATTTGTTTTTAGTTTTTATTTTCTTTTTTTTTTTGGGGGGGGGGTTCTTGAGCACGTAGTAGACAAGGGTTTAGGCTTTTAGGGTTCAGGCCATTCTGCTACGTCGGCTATAGGATCCTAGATATCTTGAGCCTTTCCACTTGCCCCAGCTTTTCGGGTGATCCTCGCGTGAACCTGTGGGTATCTCCAGAAGCTGTCAATCTCCAGAAGCTGCTAATTAAACCCTAGACCTTAAACACTTTTCTCTAAACCCAAACCCACAACCCAAGACCGAACCCTACACTCTACCCCAAGCTCTGAACCCTAAACCCTTAACCCTGAACCCTAAACCCTAAACCCTAAACCCTAAACCCTAAACCCTAAACCCTAAACCCTAAACCCTAAACCCTAAACCCTAAACCCTAAACCCTAAACCCTAAACCCTAAACCCTAAACCCTAAACCCTAAACCCTAAACCCTAAACCCTAAACCCTAAACCCTAAACCCTAAACCCTAAACCCTAAACCCTAAACCCTAAACCCTAAACCCTAATTGTTTGCAGAGGCAAAGCTGCATTGGCTGCTTCCAGCACCCAGGGCCCGACTCTGGCAATGGGTGGATGCCTCAATCGTCTGAAAGCCTGGCGTTAGGGTTTAGGGTTTAGGGTTTAGGGTCTAGGGTTTAGGGTTTAGGGTTTAGGGTCTAGGGTTTAGGGTTTCGGGGTTAGGGGTAGGGTTTAGGGTTTAGCTCGCGGTCCTTCTGCAATACGAGACATGTCTTTTTGCTAGGTGGGTCCAATGGGCAATATCGGACTCACACAGGGATGCCTCGCTGTTCATAGTGGACTTGGCCCAAGCAAGAGGAGACTTGTGGCGTCGCGCCCTCTTGAAAATCCGGCCCTGTACACTTTTTGGCCGCTTTTGAGAGGAGTGCTGTAGTGAAGGCCGAGGATTGAGAGACCTCTGAGATACTGGGCTGTGCTTTGGTATTGTTTTTTCAAATTTCCCTTCTTTCCCTTGTAAGGGAACCTATGCATAAATAATTTTTTCAAAGGGCTTTAAAGCACCACTCAGGATAGTGATGCTCATTCCTGAAAGGCCCTCGGTGCCCCGCAGCCAGCCAACAGCACCGGGCAGAAAGCATCGATTTGGCCCTCCGACCCCGCCCGCGTCGGAGGATCTGACAAGCTCGGGGCAGGCTTCGGGCGACCCTCGGAGCTGGGTTTAGGGTTTAGGGTTTAGGGTTTAGGGTTTAGGGTTTAGGGTTTAGGGTTTAGGGTTTAGGGTTTCTCTTGACGTGGAAGAATGGTAAGGTGCCATGTATCTATCTACCTACCTATCTATCTACGCACACAACATCGGCAGATAACGTGTGCTACGGCCATAGCAAGATACACATTTGTTTACATTTATACCATTATATTACTCTTCTTGCTACTATTCAGATGTGATTCGACATGTATGATGCTTCTACTACTATTCGCTTAAGAACACCCCCAAAAAAAACAAGAATCCCTATTTTGCTCTTTTGGGGAAGATATTTTCATGTTGTTTTTTGGGGGGTTCTTAAGCAGTTGGTAGTAGACCCATGTTTCCTTTTTTTAGGGTTGGGGTTCCCTTATATCCCCCTTGAAACCCAAAAAGGGGCACCCTTTTTTATTCCTAGCTTACGCCCGTGTCGAGCTTGTATATTGCCCAGAGGGTCCATTTGTAGTACTATTCGGGAATTAGGCACCCAAAACCCACACTAAATAGGGTTTTGGGGTACCTAATTCCATAAAAGTACTACAAATGGACCCCCTGGCTTGTTTAGTTCACATAGCATCCGACATGGTGCTTGATGTTGTAGCGTGTACAGAGCCGCCGTGAAGCAAGCCAAAGATCGCCCCGTGACCCTAAACCCCAAATCCCAAACCCCAAACCCCAAACCCCAAACCCTAAACCCTAAACCCTAAACCCTAAACCCTAAACCCTAAACCCTAAACCGAGGACTTGCAGAAAGGGCGGAAGCCAGAGGAACCCAGCGGAGTGGACGCCCTCCCGTCGCCACGGAGCCCACAACTGCGCCATGAAGATCGACCTCGGCATTCTGCTTCTTTGTCACTTTGCCATAGGCTTAGGGTTGAGGGTTTAGGGTTTAGGGTTTAGGGTTTAGGGTTTAGGGTTTAGGGTTTAGGGTTTAGGGTTTAGGGTTTAGGGTTTAGGGTTTAGGGTTTAGGGTAACATTGTGCACTGTTAAGAGTACTGAAGCTCAATAAGGAATTACAAGTCCAATCTTTCTTATGCCATCCCAACCATCTAAACCCTAAACCCTAAACCCTAAATCCTCAACCCTAAACCCTAACCCTAAACCCTAAACCCTAAACCCGAAACCCTAAGCCCTAAACCCTAAACCCTAAACCCTAAACCCTAAACCTTTAGGTCAGACCTGGTGGCTGACAGGGACCGGCGAAAGCAGAGGCGATATCGACATCACGGGCCTGCTTTGAGCTGGAGCTTCTTGGTGGCCCAGTGGTACCCTTTGCCCTTTTTGTTTTTGGGTTAGGGGTTTAGGGTTTAGGGTTTAGGGTTTGGGGTTTAGGGTTTCGGGTTTAGGGTTTAGGGTTGTATGGTTTCTGGGCTGCCAAGGTTTGCAGGCGCAGCGGATGCAGCACACGCCCGTCGAGCTGGAAAGTGCCGAGAAACGGAGGCAGGAGCCGCGTCTCCAGGGCGACAGTAGCTTTGTCATAGTTGGGTAACATTTTACATGTTTTTAAGGATACTTAAACCCAATAAGGAATAACAATTTGAATGTTTAATACTAAGGGTACTTAAACCCAATAAGGAATAGCAATCTGAAGGTTTAATATTATCCCAACCATGAACTAGGTAGTCTGGAAGCTTTCCAGAAAGCCGAGAGTTACGCGAGCGCTTGCACGCGCGTCTGCTCCCAGTGAGCCTGCGCTGCCTTCGGGCACCAGGTGGGCTAAAGCTTCCCCACAAAGGGCCTCTGTTGGGTTTTTTTCAATATGAAGTACAAGCTGTACCATGCATCAGCAGTAGGTGATAGTGTTTTACAAGGAATATGTAGGTATTTGATGTCCCCAGTAATGTGGGATGCCTTCATCATTTGCTTGTCTGTCGTCCGCGGAGCGCCTTAGTTGTGTCCGCGTCTTCATCTTGATGAGACCAGATGTCCACTGCACCATGGCTTGTTTAGAGTTCCTGTGTTTCATGTTAGAGCCAGTCCCATACGGAAAGCGAGACTGATACATTTTATCTCGCGATCCCTAGACCCTAAACCTTAAACCCTAAACCCTAAACCCTATTCAAGACAACGAAGGTTTCAGCAATGGACACCTCCTGAACCCTGTCGAATCCCCAAAGCCTCTAATGATCTTGCAGCTGTTAGTACGGGACTGCGCTCGGCATTGTTGCAGTTGACGCCTCCTTCGTTGAACCCTGGGGTTTTGGGGGTGCCTACTGAGAATGTTAGGGTTTAGGGTTTAGGGTTTAGGGTTCAGGGTTCAGGGTTCAGGGTTTAGGGTTCTATAGATCTATAGGAGTCTAAAGGGGAGATCCACCCGCTAGCTAACCTCAGGGTCCATCAATCTCAAACTTCCTCCTGGCTGGTGAAGTGCTCCAGTGATCGACCTTTGCTTGAACCGTGACATATCTGAAACCAGAGCTATTCTTGTGTGTGGGAGAAAGGGTTTGCTCCTAAACCCCGGGAGAACCCGAAACCATGTCCCAAACCGTTGCCACGGTGCAATCGCTGATGAGCACTCAACCAGGAAGTCAGAGCCTTGGCACGGGATTCGGGAGCTGACAAGAAGCTTGCTTTCAACAGAACCCCTGCGGGCATGGCACAGACCAATGAATTCGCACGAGATGTCGTACCCCCTGCTGGCCTGAGACTTAACCGGGCCTCCCCAAAATCCTCTTGCAGGGTGCGACTGTAGTAGTACATGTTAGTAATGCTTAGGTTGGAGCGCTCACGCTCTGGTAGCCCATATTTGGGCTTGCCCCCATCCGCACGCAGTAGTCTGGGCGGTGCATCTGCTCGCATCCATAACAAGGTTCCCGAGTCAAGAGGCTCGCGCCTAGACGTGTGGAGGCTTTGGCGGGGCAGATTTGCCAAAACGGCCCTTGCTCGCACAAGGGCCTGTATGTATAGTCCTTGGCATTCCAAGAGCGCTGCACTCCAAACTCTCGAGGTGCTACACCAACACCTATGACCACACACCCAGAGCACCAACTTGTGATGGACTGCCTTAAAGACTTGGGCACAATGAGCCTGAGTTCTGCCACTTGACACTTCCGTTCCGGTGCGTTTAAGGCGAGTGGAGGAGTGGGTTTTTAGCTCTATGTACCCGCAGCAGCGCCTTTACACCCTAAACAGGCCCTAAACCCTGAACCCGAAACCCGAAACCCGAAACCCGAAACCGAAACCCTAAACCCTAAACCCTAAACCCTAAACCCTAAACCCTAAACCCTAAACCCTAAACCCTAAACCCTAAACCCTAAACCCTAAACCCTAAACCCTAAACCCTAAACCCTAAACCCTAAACCCTAAACCCTAAACCCCAAACATCCAGCACTCACTCCCCCACTGCCCCTTACGTTAGCACCTGAAGGCTCAGAAAGGAAAACCGGCGCCTTCGGATCGCCTCCCACCTTGGGTTTAGGGTTTAAGGGTTTAAGGGTTTAAGGGTTTAAGGGTTTAAGGGTTTATGGGTTTAAGGGTTTAAGGGTTTAGGGTTTAGGGTTTAGGGTTTAGGGTTTAGGGTTTAGGGTTTAAGGGTTTAAGGGTTTAGGGTTTAGGGTTTAAGGGTTTAAGGGTTTAAGGGTTTAAGGGTTTAGGGTTTAGGGTTTAGGGTTTAGGGTTTAGGGTTTAGGGTTTGGGGTTTGGGGTTTGGGGTTTGGGGTTTGGGGTTTGGGGTTTGGGGTTTGGGGTTTGGGATTTGGGGTGTAATTAGGGTTTAGGGTTTAGGGTTTGTTTTTATTTTTAAATTAGGGCTAAGGGTGTAAGGTCTAGGGTTTAGGGTTTAGGAATGGGGTTGCCGAACTAATAGGGGTGCCCTATATAACCGGGGTAGCTATACTCTGGGTTGGGGTACTTTGAGGGTATCTTGGGGGGTTACCCCGAATATCTGGGGAAGTGCCCAACAGCAACTTGGGGTTTGGAGGCTCAGGCAGGGTTTCAGGGCTTCAGGGCTTCAGGGCTTAGGGTTTAGGGTTTGGGGTTTAGGGTTTAGGGTTTAGGGAGCAAGATGCCCAGGCTGTGGAGCAGCTGTATCCGAAAGGCGTGAGCCCAGGGACTGCAACACATCTTTGCACAACTTCCTGCTCGGTGCCATCTCCTCATGTTTGGATTTAGGGTTTAGGGTTTAGGGTTTAGGGTTCAGGGTGTTCAGAATGGGTCGTGCCAGCAAGTGCATCCTCCGCCCGTGCGCAGGCAATCAAAGTGGCCTACCAGCTTCGACTTCTCCCCGGCCTACTTGCACGTGGACGAGCTATGGCAGCAGGAGCCTCAGAAGTAGCAGACAGCAGACATGCTACAGGCGGTGTTAAACACGGCTAGGTGACCGGCTTACTTGAAACGAATCCTGAAACCTTAGTGTGCAAACGCCTGCTTGGGCTCGAGCTGCGGCATCCTGCCATCTTGGAAGTGTAGCGCAGATGCCCTAAACCCTAAACCCTAAACCCTAGACCCTAAACCCTAAACCCTAAACCCTAAACCCTAAACCCTAAGCCCTAAGCCCAAGTCCTAAACCCTAAACCCTAAACCCTAAACCCTAAACCCTAAACCCTAAACCCTAAACCCTAAACCCTAAACCCTAAACCCTAAACCCTAAACCCTAAACCCTAAGCCCTAAGCCCTAAACCCTAAACCCTAAACCCTAAACCCAACATCCGAGGGCAAACGCGGCCGTGGAATATGTCAATGCAGACGGGGATCAGATCAGCCTGGCCCCAGCGGGAGAGCCTGGCAGGCGACGGGAGAGGGGACCTGCCTCATTCGATAGGCGGCCTCACTCCTAAAATCCACACCCTCAGCCCTATTCAGACCACGGAAGTACCCCCTAAGATGCCTCAAATACCTCAGTCAGGAATATTTCTGCTTAGGCCCTTATCAAGGGGTGCTTTGTTGGTCAAGGTGACAGCCCAAACCCGAAAACTTGAAACTGAAGCCCGACACCCCAATCCCGAAACGGTAGCAACCCTGGTCCTATCACGTTGAAGCCCTTAGGAAGGATGATGGTTCAGGGTTTAGGGTTTAGGGTTTAGGGTTTAGGGTTTAGGGTTTAGGGTTTAGGGTTTAGGGTTTAGGGAATGATGTGCTGCTAGATGGATCGCTCTTCCCCTTGGGTACAAGAACTGCAATCTGTGTATCCCTGGCTATGCGATCAGGGCGTGCAAGGCAAACTACACATGGTACACATTGACCAAGCCCCAAACCCCCACACCCGAAACCTTAAACCCTAAACCTATTGGCTTCTTGCAAAAAGGTTCTTCTAAAAGGAAATGCTTCAATCCCTTCAGGCCATGAAAGAGACATGGGAATATCCGCTTGGACCTTCCAAAGCGGGGACCCTTTGACCTACACGTTTAGGATACACATTAGGGGAGTTCCCTATTCAGAGCAGCCCTAAACCCTAAGCCCTAAACCCCAAATCCCAAACCCCAAACCCCAAACCCCAAACCCCAAACCCCAAACCCCAAACCCCAAACCCCAAACCCCAAACCCTAAACCCTAAACCCTAAATCCTATACATTGTAGGCTGCTGCTTGAGCTCAACGGCGTTTCCAAGGGGGAGGTGACGCAGCTCAGGTCCTCAGCTCGTGGTTCTCGGGTTTAGGGTTTAGGGTTTGGGGTGCAGGGTTTAGGGTTGAGGGTTGAGGGTTTAGGGTTTGGGGTTTAGGGTTTAGGGTTAAGGGTTGAGGGTTTAGGGTTTGGGGTTTAGGATTTTGAGTGGGGTGGCTTTAAGGCTTTGGGGTTTCGGGGCGTAGGCTTTCACAGCCTGGCAAGGGTTCAACAAGTGCGTGGAAGTGTGTGGGGCATCACGTGTTTTAATGAGCGATCTTGGAAAATTCCGCCGAAGAGCTCGAAACCCTAAACCCTAAACCCTGAACCCTAAACCCTAAACCCTGGGGGCCAAAGATAGCCACAGCCCGGGCATGCCAGTTATGATCCTTCCAGTGGGTCGCTGCTGCAGCAGGAGCGATGAAGCCGCTCAGGGTTTGGAGTTCCTTCCCAGGGTTTAGGGTTTAGGGTTTAGGGTTTAGGGTTTAGGGTTTAGGGTTTAGGGTTTAGGGCCGCATCCTCGGCGGCACTTTGCCAGGGTCCAGGATTCTAGGTTAGCTTAGGGTTCGGGGAGTCGGGTTTAGGGTTTAGGGTTTAGGGTTTCTTTTCGGTTTTCTGTTGCTCGGCTGCGGGTTGGACTTGCTCCTGCTGTCCTTTGACTTGGCAGGGCTTCCTGAGAGCTCTTTCGCAACTCTGGTCATGCAGATTGAGGTTCATGGTACCTGTTCACCAACTACAACTGTATATATATATATAGCCCACTTATAAGCCCCTCAAGTGCCCGAATATGGTTGTAAGTACAGTTATAAGTACAGGTATAATTCGGTTAATAAGTACCATGAACCTCCAAGTAAACCCTAAACCCCCCTAAACCCTAAACCCTAAACCCTAAACCCTAAACCCTAAACCCTAAACCCCAAACCCCTAAGCTCCTAACCTCCAAGTAGCTGTTGACGTGCCGGTGCGCAGGAGAACTTGCCAATAGCATCCTCGCGGGGAGCTGAGAGGGGCTGAGTTGTTCTGAGCAGCCCATGCCCAGACCCCTTGGGAGTTTCTGGGTTTAGGGTTTAGGGTTTAGGGTTTGGGGTTTAGAGTTTAGGGTTTAGGGTTGATCCAAAAAATGACCCAATAGTAGTAGTATGGGGTCCT